CTATAAACCTTTATGATAATCACACGATAAGACAATACACACAAATAATACGAGCGTATTTGTAGTCACGGTCAAATTTAATAAATTCTACAGCTTTGACAACGACCCCGCGGTTACGATATAGTAATATTTTTTTCTTGTTATATGCTATTTCGCTCCGTTTCAAACGAATAGTGTTTTGAAATGATTGTTTACCATAGATACCGCTGTACTGAGAATTTCCTCGGCCCCTCCGGTCACACTGAATTTCCGCGCCGTCGATCTTGTCGTACGATTGTATAATATACGATCGCCTGACTCGTATTATATAGGTACATACGTTTTCCATAATGCACCTGTATATGACATTTACCGTGATCGTATTACTCGTGGTTCAATTTTTTTCTTCTTTGCGCCGATTGTCGCTTATCCGCATCTGGCTATAATGTACGCGGTTATGTGTACAACGTGCAATAGCAGTAATAACGGTTATAGTAGATGTGGTGCTTCGTACATAATATTACCTATTTATTATTACTATTATTATTATTATTGATATTTATTGTTATTGAATCGGTGGATAGTGACCACGGTATTGCGTTTTAGACTGAAGGAGATGGTTGCACACATAATATAATATACGCATACAGTGTATAGCCAATATATAGCTCATAAATACCGAAGAAACGGTCGTGTGCTGGTCATCAGCTGCCCTCCCCGCCATGAGCGAAATACAACCGTAGTTTGCACCTGAATATAATATACGATGGAGATACGTGACGACGATAAGACGCGATACGGTCCGGATAACATCGTACGCGTATATATGCGTGTATATTGTATATGTACATGTAAATGTGTATGTGTATAAAACTATAAATATAAATACCCGCGAAGTTCCCACGGCGAATAACAGTCATCGCTGCCGGGCGAGTGCGGTGTAGTAGATACCTGTTGTGGCTGGAGAAGAAACGCCACAGCTGCACTGTACACCACACGGGATGATCATATTTTTATAGCTGCGATTAAGGTGCGCACGCTGAACGACCGTCCGGTGCTCTGACCATGAGCGACACGAATGTACAACACGTCGCGACAATCGATTTTCATAAAGCGCATTACAACATAATAACAACACATCAATCGCGATTCGTCTATCCATGCCATCCATGGTATAAATTTACTGTTATTTTGGTTTCTTTAAGCAAGCCCAACACAGTTTTATGCTTTGGACTTAATTAATTATCTTGATTTTTTAAATTTCTATGTCAAAAATTTATTTTTAAGTACTTATTGCTTTATTGCCCTTATTGGCTAGTTGTGACATTCGAAAACTGTTCTATGACAACACATAATATTAAATTTTTACTAACTTTCTTCTATAGAAGATTTATTATAAGCAGTTAGTTTTTTTTTGTTATTTGAAGTATTGCAGTGATATGCTGAAGTTGGAAGTTGAACAATTGAATTTGGCTTCTACAAAATTGCTCTACTTCATTGTAGATACTAAACTTAACCAGACGTATGTCTTTGTTAACTACGTATTGGGTCTGTAATGATTTATTATTGCAAATTTATACCCTATCATCACTGTGACAGTCTAGCGCAATGTCCTTCGACGGTTTTTTTTTCATGCGTATACAGACTTACCCATCGCGCAATCATTGCGGCGATTTCAATAATATCATAATAATTAACACAATTTTTTCACAGCACCAATTGCAATAATAATACATCGTCGTGTCATAGTTATTATTGTTGACGTAGAGTCGTGTGGCGTGCCGTTCGCATTATATTTTATCGCTGCGTGTTGCGTGTCGAAGGCGCATTTATATATTATATAATATATTGTGTACAATAATATAATGTACCGATTCCGTCGACACATCTGCCGCCGTCGTCTTCGAGTCCGATGTTTTTTCCCGACTTATACATATTGTAAGTTGATTTTAACAATAATAATTTATGGACCATGAGACCGGAATTTTTGGAGTCGTTTTAGCTAGTAACCATTACTACAGTATAATAATATACAGATTTATGGAATTTTACGTTTTCGATTGTCACGTTATAGCCTATAGTTAGTTTGACGCGTACAATATCATATAAATGCTCTGTTCGATTTTCAACAATTCTAAATCGAGACTCATTTTTACATCACTCTCCGGGATAATATTATTATATATTGCACATGTAAAACGTGACGATGAGCTGGAGACATGGCGCACTACATTTAAAAAAAATAATATGTTTTGCCAAAAAATTATTTTGATTTATTTTTTTCTAATATTTTTATTAATCCTATAATAGTTATTAATTTGTTTATTGCAGTTTTTTATTGAACGATTTTTATAGCCCATGTTTTCTTGTTAGCGTGAATGGATTAGAGATGAACGATGGTGGTATCTGTTTGACGGATTTTACATGTTTTAATTATTCCAATCGATCCGTCTTTATTTTATTTTGTTTTTTTTTCACTTTGGTTGATGCATAATAAATAGCCAATGAGATGTTTATTCGTTCTGCCTGAAAGTTTGAGAATATGTGTTTCTGAAGAATACATATGTTCGTTGTTTCTTTAAACAAGTTAAAATATAGTGGGTAATTGTGTTGAGTTGATAATATTTTTATTTAAGAGGATTGAGGATATGATAAGGAGTGTTATATTGTTTCAATCATTTTTATGTTTGATAAAAATTATATTATTAAAAATAAATTATCTTTTCAACGTTCCTACTTTTAGTGTTTTTATGTAGTGTAATACTTCGATAATTAAACATATAAGTATTGCATCGAAGCGTATATCACCACTATTATAACTGTAACAACTGTGCTTTAGTTGTAAATCGATCTTGCGGTTTATTCATTCCTAAATTAGGTAGCTTCACGGAATGAATGTAAGCTTAAACTATGTATACTATCCAAATACAATTAATGTTTACGGAGCTCTTAAGTTAGATAGTAATTATTTGAATTAATACATGTATATGTGTAGAACTTATTTCAATTAAGGTTGTAGAGCATGCATATCCTTTCTTCTACTTTTATTCTCTTAGTTTAGAGATCTTCGTTATTTTCAAATAAATAATTAAAAATAAATAACGATTTCATTCCACAATAACGATTTAACACGTAAAACTATAAACCATAAATGTGACGATGTCGTCACTTTATATCTATATTACATTCTATCATACTTATATTATACCAACAATTTCAAAAAAAATAATCACACATCAGGCGATCTTACGCGTGGTCATGTTTAATGATTAAATTTATATATATACCTACATTGTACATAGTATAATATACAGTATACACACATGAAGAGAATTGCAACCGATCCCGCGATGAGCGGTTGTGTGTATGAGTGCAGCAACTAAATAATATACGTCCTATCGACGTCAACCGGTTATACGAGATGAATTTTGGTTCCAAATCTTAACTATAATATAACTAAATGCACAGTATAATAATATATATCTAATAATATAAAGGTTCGAGTCACGTTGAAACCACTTTTTCCTTCGTGTTTACGACAAAATTGATCGAAATATTAAAAACCATTCTGGTTTATTATACTAATATATACTATTTTTTTTTAAATTGCGAGCACATAATAATAATAATAATAATAATAGTAATAATAATAAAAAGAAAAACATGAAATTAAACCACCAGTATCCGGACACCATCTCGACGCGCGGAGATCTGGGCACAAATAAGTAGCTCGGTGTTACGTGTTCCACACGATTTTAATTTTAATTCCGTGTATAATAATTATTTGAGTTTGAAAAAAATCTATATAAACTAACCAATCCGCCGCGCGCAGAGATAATAATAATCTGTATGCCCCATAGACTGGTTCAGACGTATTATTAAAGACCCATAATCTTGCGTGAGTCTTAGAACATTAAAACCGTCGTATATGTATAAAATACAGTATACACACACACATATATATATATACGTATGGCCAACCGAAGCGGTGTGGATCCTGTCTTTAGCCCTCTCTTGTATTACAGTCACGATGGTTTAGTTGTTAACCGGCCGACGGTTTATGGGTATGTTAATAATATTAATAATACGATTATTATTATACGTGTACCCGAAGAGACTCTTAAAAACGTAGTAGTGTAACTCGATTCTACCGTGAGCCACTGTTCGAGTATAATGATTGATTATCGCATTTTTATCAATATTTTTATTCGTGTTAGTAACAGGTATATAATAATACATAAAAATATATAATATTCTATGATATGTAAAAAAAATGATCACATAATTATACTGTTATACGTGTTTAAAATGTATACATATACATATTAATTGTATCTACACGTTGTTTCGTACATTTATTCATTCGGAAGCATATCTTGTATTATAATATTGAAATGTATAATAAACAATATAAATACAATATTTTGATTGAAAGATATCAAAATTGCTTGCATTTTAAAATTAAATTTTTTGTTATGGGAATTTGTATAATTTATACAAGAATTCAATACATAATATTTAATTTGTTAATCAAATATTCATATTTGAAGGAAGAGGGGAGAAGAAAATTGTTATCAATTACAGCTAAAAGTCAAATTAAAATAAAATATGTACTGGAAATAATGACTATATGCTGTAATAAACGATTTCAATAGGTGTATAATATTTGAAGAAAAAATCTGTCGTGAACAATTTCGTGTGTTGGATCGTATATGAGACGTCATTATAATAAGAGGTCAACGGTCTGGTTTTATTGGCCTTCTATAGTGACCGAACTGGGTAATTTATGCTCTACTGCAGACTATACATACATACGTATAATATGCATATAATATTACTATTTAATATCATTCGTACCTAATAAACATCGTTAAGCGAACATTGAAAAAGAAATGTTGTATTTCAATGAACAATTTGTTTTATTATTATTTTCCGCGGATTCCGATAATTTTATGTGGATAAAATATAAATAAATAAATATTTTTTAATTAAAATTAAAAAAAAACACTTAATTGGTTTACCTTGATATGAGTCATTCGATGATAATAGAGATTAGAACTAGCAGTGAATCGTTTTCCACAGACTCCGCACTGGTGTGGTTTTTCGCCGCTGTGGATTCGCCGGTGAGTGTTTAAAGAGCTCGATGTTGAGAAACCTTTGTTGCACACTGCACACACATGCGGCTTTTCACCTGCGTGAGAAAATTTTGGTTATAAAACGACGGTATTATTATGTTATAGGAAATGATTTTTATACTATATTTAGGTATAATATTTTATACGGGGTGTTATTTCAGCGCGTAAATGTCGGTCAACAGGATCCGCGTGATGGTAGATTTTTATCCGAGTGGCGGCCCATGGGAATTAAATATGAGAGTGGGATGAGTGTAATAATAAAAAAAATTGAAATAATAAGAAGAAAAACACCGTCATCCGGTCTCAAGAAATAGCCACTCAGAGAGTCTGTAGTGCGACCGTTTATTATCATAATAGTCGATGTTAATGAACCAGTCGTACCATATTATTGTATATACGGGCGTAGCTGCTGCAATAAGCTTTTGGTGGCAGCCTTTTGCTTTTTTGCAATCGAAAGCGAAATTATCATCAAATCACATTTTATCATATGCGTTAGGACGTTAAATGCACATTAATAATGATATGTTCATGTAATATACTTTGTTTATATTGTCTTTAGAAAATAATATGAATGTCATATCTCCCTACAACAGTGATCAAATATACGTTTAATATAATAATACGTATAAATATATGTATTATTTAAAATACAAAGAAATCCAAGTAATATAGAATTAAATTTAGCAGCTGAAAGATTTTTCGGAGCGTCATAGTCAGAACATGAAACCTTAGTAAATAATTAAAAAATTACAAAAATCGTATTTAGATTAATTAAATCCAACGGCGGTACATAATGATTTCTATAAACGTACCAGTGTGCGTACGCATGTGCCTCTTGAGCAATGACGGTCGGTCAAAAGCTTTGCGGCAGACTTCACACGGAAGAAGAGTGCGCTCGCCGCGGAATGGTCTCGGTTTTACTGGAGTTGTGTTACACACAATCATGTTCACGTTGTGGTCCAGCGATGCTGTGTCACCAGACAAAGAGTTGGCCGAAGATGATTCGCCGGATAATGATTTGCGTTCGTCCGTGTCCAGTCCGCTGGGTGGGGAAGATGCTGATGACGCGGAAGACGTGCCGAACGCCCGAGAGAGTAACGACATGGATAGATCCAACGGTGAATCTGGAAAAATTGAATGGTATAATATTATATTTTACATTAATAATCTAAAAACGTTGATGATATATTGAAAATATTATACAGGAATTGGTATTATAAGTATTTCAAGTGACTAGTATGTATTGTAAAAGGCACAAATAAGAGAAAAGTTGAGTTTTTAAAATTTCAGTTTTTGATTGCTTATGAAAGTATAATATTGTTTTTATGACTGCACAATTCATTTATGGATAGGTTACACGTGGATGACTCATAAACACCTTAAACTTTTATCAACAGATCTAAACCTGATCAATTTCAAACTTGCGGTAAAACTATCACGGTTGAACACCTAATATACCTATGCCGTAAATTCACCGACATCAGATATAAGCTCAGTATAGAAGATAACCTGGAAGAAGCTCTAAGTCCACAGCAAATCAACATAGAAAAAATAATTAATTTTTTAAAATTAATTAAACTTTACCTACTAATATAAACTAGATATATGTCAATCTCATTATTCTGTATCATTATTATTATATTATATATATATTATTATTAATTCTTAATACTTGTGTTAAAAAATATTAATGTTTGTAGCCAATAACCATTGTTTTTGCGGCTTTCTTCTAATAAAAAAAAATCATGCTTACACATGAATCGCCTATATTTTAAGACAGAGAAATAAACGTCAATATATTATATAAAAAAGCGTGTACCTACATTTTTTAAATGTTGGTTTTACTTTCTCCAGCAATAAAATCTTTAAAAATACACTTTGTGCTTGAATTTATTAGATCAGATTCGATGTGCATCATTATTAAAATATATTATTATAGGCGCGATACGATTGTACGCAGTCCTTATCAGTGGTACCTTTTTAGGCATACGATTGCGCACATTTTAATATTTTTACTTTTAAGAACGTTGCTAAGTATATAGACTCATAGTAAATCCGTACACGATATTTAAGTCGATTATAGTAAATTATTTTTACTTATTATTGTCGATACCAGACAAACTTTCTATCACTAAGAGTACTTTATTGGTTACATTTTAAATCATACTAAAAAAATCATACTGTTAAATTTTATATTTATTTTTAAATTATATTATAGTATTTGTATCTGTATTTTAATATTAAAAATAATTATGATATAACTTAATTTTTGTTTATTAAAAAATTTGGCAACTTCGCGCCCAATTCACGCGCAATCGTACGCCTTAGAAAATTTAAAATCATGTTCTTTGATATTCTGGCGCTGCGCGCAATTGTATACCCAAAAAGGTAAATCGCAAGCAATCGTACTTCACGGATTATTATTATAGGTATGTATCTATAAGCAATATAGATTATAATTTATAAATATAGTATAGGTACATTGTCTGTAATTGCGGCGATGTGAATATTATTGTACTACGGTCGGTCGATTATATTATTATTATACTGTGTGGATCAGAGCAAAAACTACCGTCGCCTTGTCTGTCGTTATAGTTCCAATTAAAACAATAATCTTGCCAAGTCGATCTTCTATATTCTGTTGCTTACTATTATTAATCTATACACATTATATAGGTACGTACAGCGTACGAGAGTCAATTTATATTCGTATTTGGTTGGAAACGATTCGTGTCGCGTCTTGTACGAGTAGATACGCGATTCGATATATGCGCTTTCACGTCGTCGTTGAATTTACGTCCGCGTCGGTCGGAGGAGTATATTTTTCCGATATATATATAGATGGGTTAGTTCTCCATGACAAAATCAGACCATAGATTCAGAAGACAATTTGTCGGTTATTTCCCGTTTTGAATATAGGCGCGTACGTTATTCCACCTTATGATACAATAAAATTATGTAAGGCAACTGTTGCATCCAACGATCGTAATGTGAGTATATTATATAGAAGAGATTAGGTTAAATATCCGCACTCTATCAAATCATCTGTTGTTCCCGAAAACTATATTTATACTGCTACGATAACGGACCTGTCCAGTGTCCATCACGAATTGCGTATACACGTTCATCGAATTAATGACATTTCCAGTCCACTTCCCACAAAACATACCTTCGTATGCACAGTTACCAGATTTGCAGTGGTCTAAGAGATGGACTCACGACTGTCGTCGAACAATGTATTTATAGAAGCATTGGATACAACTACAAATATTTCAGTTCAATACATATTATTTAACATGATCGACCGTCGATTATTGTACTAGCCTATCAATATTTAATAGTACCTACCTATATATGAAAGTAACGATAAAATGTATATTATATTATAATAATGACACATCGTTGTACTCGAACAATCTTGCCATATAGTGATTTATATGCACATCGTACATGACGCATTTATTCGTGTGCGATTATATTATATTATTATTTTTTTATAATATTTCATTTTTCACGTTATTTTATATTTTTCCGAATCACTCGTGGAAAATGCACGTAATGTAGCAGCAGAGCACCCATAAAAAAGTAGAACAAAAAAAACCCCGTCCATGCTCCTAGATCAGGAAGTGGGTACTATAATATTAATATATATGAATATTTATAACTACATCGTATATATATATATATATATATACTACAATATTAATATTATCATCTTATGATGGGCGTGCGTAGATTGAATGGTTCATTGGAGATGCATTCTTTCCACACAATCTCTTACAAAACCTTACCAACAACAAATAAAAATTGATATTTTTTTTCTCAAAAGACAACTTACACAAAAATGTATTTTTGTCTTTTTAAGATTTTGTTCTCTCATAGCATGATGAGAAAAAAACATTTTTAGTAAATCTTCATTTATTCTTCAGAAATTTAGTAAGTGATGGCAATTTAGGCGATTCGTTGATTTTCTTAGATGAAATGTAGCACTCTTATGTATCCCGTAAAATATATTATATTTTATAAGAAAATACGCAGCGCGATTTTCCTCCGTCTCGGCTCGCGTGACGACCACTGCACATATAATACACCTGTAGGTACATGTGCATATATCTATATCCCCGCTCACATACACACACACACATATATAAATGCAAGTATATTGAAGAGACGGACGCAAATCAAGTCCGTGTCACCATCAAAAGGAAACGCGGGGTTCGGGGGATGAGAAGAGCCGAGGACAATACCCGCGCCCGATGACGATCGGGCGGTGGCAACCAAACAATAGAAGGACGTGCCGCTACCGTTTGGAAGTGAGTACCGCCTCAGCCACGAAGTAAAGGTACGTAGGTACGCAAGTACGCGTATACAGGTATATACGTATAATAGTGTCTACCACACACACATACATATATATATATATATAATATAACACTCGCGTATATATATTGTCACCGCCGTACAATCACCAATAGCCACCAGAACAATGGACAAACTGTACGCATTATTATACAACGATATTGGTCTTTGGACATGTACGTATATGTGTTCGAGTGTAAGCGTGTGTGTGCGTTCGGACGTATTCAGACTTGGTTTTTTTCCTACTTCATAATATAATATTATATACTATGCCTACGCTCTCACGATGTATACGTGTATATCATTCGGGATTCCGCGTAGTTACATGTATTTTTGATTTTGATTTTTCACTCTGTCTCTGTCATCTCGCTCACACGTTTTACGAGCGCCGGAGTCCTGATAGTAATGTAATAATTGTATTTTGATTTATGCAGTGTATGGACTGTACATGCCAATGACTAGATGCAGAGGCCAGTCGTTATCGTTGTATAGTCGTATAGGTACCATTTTACACTGTTGTAAGTACACCTATTGGCTATTGCTAATTACGAACAATATTATAATATTTATGCACATGACATTATCAAGAAATCCTGACGTAACAGGTATTGCGCTGTCCGGAGAATTATATTTAAATTATTTAATTTGTATAATATAATTATTAATATATAATTTAATGGTAATAAAATATAATAGCATGTATCGAGCTGATAAATGCATTATTATACTACAATAACGTTGCAATATCGCATTTATTTTTTTTTTTATTCACACGCAGCTCGAGGCCGTTTTACGTGGTATTAATTTATTCAAGTAGCCGTAAACAGGACGACGAACATATTGACGTATCGTTGTAATATTATAATACAACATATTGTATGGTACCGACGTATAAGGCTAGGGACAAGGTCACTCCGTGTCAATCTCTGGGCCCACGCCGCACCGCCTCGAAAATGTCCCCGAGTGACCTCGCTTATTTAAAACAATTGTTTTATTATTGTCGCATCACATTACGCGAAATCATCTGGATTATTTAATACTTAAAAATTTATATTAAACCAAAATCGAAAATTGAAAATTTACGAGAAACTTTCGGTGATTGCTCTCATTTTAATATTGTGTGCAGAGGTATTCACAAAGATAGAATAATGATCTTTTCAAACAATTAAAGCAAACAAAGATGTAAATTGATTTAAAAAAAGTAGTAGTATTCATTGTTACTATGGTGATTTACCTATCTAATAAAAAACGTACGTGGAACGCCAACCTCATTAAATTTTATACAAATAATTAAACGATGTAATAAGCTTTTTTCGAAGATGAGTAACAGTCATAATAATATATTTGTTAATATCACAGAGATATCGACGATATAAATAAAAAAAAAGAAAGTGAGAGAGGTATAATACTATAATACAGTATATACATAAAATCAATAAAGAATTTAGAATAGTACCTATTACATAATATAAGTAACCCAAGTAAAAAAAATTATTAAAAAAACAATAACAAGAATAATCAAAAATAGATAACGTAATATAGTGGACAGAACAAATAATCATAGACTTGTATAAATTTCCAAAAATAGCTGTTCTGGAAAGACTCAAAGACCTATGTATAATAAACAAAGTAGGAATAATTTAATATAATATTTTGATTAAGACGATCAAAACTATATAATTATTGAGGTTCGTTTTAACTTTTAAATCATACAATTTTCGTTAGATAGGAAAAAAAATCGCTCAAAACCGTTGATATAATGAACCGAGTATAATATGTTGCATATTTATTAATTATTTCATCAACCACAGTATACGGATAGACGTAATTAACGAAATTATTTCATAACATTGTAAGCGCGTATCATCGACATACCATAATAGACATGGAGGCGTATGCATAGACATGTGTTTATTATACAATTTTATAATATGGTATATCGCGTCAAATAATGTGATATATATTATCCATTATAACATGTTATACAGGATAGTCGATCTAAAAACGGTTTCTTATAATATTGACGATCGCCGAAGGCGATTCGCCGCGGCTGTATATAATATACTACTATTATTTCGTGTGTTTGTCGACGTATATATATATATATATATATGTAGTATTTCACAACTTCTCGCATCTCGAGTTAGCTATTATAATATTATAGTTTGTCGGCCGTTTTTCCGCCAGTCTCGCGGACACGAGCATGAACCCCTCTCCGCCCGTCACCAAATGTAATTAGCCGGTCGAACCGTTCGGGAGCCAAGACGGCCGTCGATGTAGTGTGTGAATGAGGGGAATGCTGGATGAGTAGGTGTTGGGAGGAAAATCGTAATGCATTGTTGATGCGAACGCGGCTCGTGCGTGCCTAATGTATACGCTTGTTAGATTCGGCTCTGAGAGAGGAGATATAAATAAAAAAAAAATAGGTACACACGTATAGCGCACACGGTTGAAGGCGCACACCACTCTTGTTTACAATAGTTGATACTATAGCCGCGTTGTGTGTGTGTGTGTGTAATATGGGTATAATATTATACCGAGTAGAGGTTTAGTTCTTCCCGTCGTTGAGCACAGTTACCGAGTGATGAAGGAAGAGGAGAATGAATGAGGAGATTAACCCGCGAGTCCTGTGATGGCAAACGATCGCGCGCGGATCTAGTGGGGAGGTGCGGTGGCATGAGGAGCGCGGTGCCACTGATTTCGTGTCGAGATTTAGAGATTGACGAAACGAGGTGTTATCCCGAGACAATGGCCGGCCGACGAAGTGTGCCCCGCGCATTTGTGGGTCATTATTGCAGACGTCACGTTTTGAAATTGAAAGGAGAACTCAACTCCTTATTGCAGTGACTTTTTGGACGGGACCGTTCTTCTTTTGTGCGGCGGTCAACCCGATTCCTTTCAGCAAGAAAAAAAAACACAGTCGGACCGACACGCTGCGGACGTTCGCGCATAGATCTCCGGAACGCGCGTGCGTTTCTTCGATTTTTTTCACTCTGCGTATATTATATTATATATTATATATGTTGAGCGTATAATAATATTATTGTTGCATACAATATTCACGTGGACTCGATTCACGACGACCGTCACAATAGCTGCCTGCCGTGTCAGCCGGCCTCTCGGGACACAGGAAGCTGCAGAGTGAATAAAGTTATAATTTTTCTCTCTCAATACTCGCATATATATATAAATTTTCAGTTTCAAATACAGTAGCTAGTAGCTACGTAACATTATATTGAACTGACTATTGGTTCACGACTTTCCTACACAAGAAATTATCGTTACGACTCAATATCCGCATGGTATTGAATAGTTTAATTATCATTATTATTATAAAATTTTGATTTGTTTGGTTGTTTATGCTTAATTCTGTGTCTACTGCTATTTTACATTAAATTGTCATATTTTGTATTATTATTATTATTTTTATCAAGAAGATTATTTTACAGCGGCGACAATAAATAATTTCTACCAAACGAGAATATTATAATATATAGAAACATCATTGACGTCCGGATACTTGCAGTAACTTGTACAAGGTGAAACGTTTTTTGAATAACAACTATTGGAAATAGATGAAAAATAATAAATATATATAATAGTGTTTATTTGAAGAACTGTCATTTCGTCTTTATAAGTGCTCTGAAATTTTAATTGGACCGACACGTTCAACGCCTAAAATCGCGTACATTTAATATACGTACTACGCGTATTTGAATAATATATATATATATATATATATATGGGTATAATAATATAGCTGTTAATATAAATTATATATTCACAAACGACGCGCTTTGTATATATGTATAGTGGTATCTACATGACTTTCTATCGCAGACAGATAATCGCACAGCAGGTGGCGTTGTGTAGGTACGAGTATTATTGACGGCTCCAAATAATATATAGGAATCGTATAAAATACACCGCTGACGATTTGTATGTCATTATTAATATTATTATTATACAAGTATGACGAAATGTGCCTCGGATTACATGCATAATGATCACGACGTGCGGTGGAGACAAGTTTAATATATTGCAAGAACGAATACACAGTACTTGTAGCGAGCGATCCTTTCAATCGAAAAATTAAATCGTAACCCGGTCGCGCGTAACACGGTAAGCGCAAAGTCCTCGATCGGCTATTATACATACATACTTTGGTTTAGGTAACGATAAATCACGCTATATATCGAAGATCGTCCCATCGGCGTGTATATAAACACTCGACGACGTCCGGTCGTTGTTTGCGGGTAGTGGCGATAGTATAGGTGGTGGTGGGGTGTAATGGCGCGGACGACGACCATTGTGGCGGACTACGACGAGCAACGAGACAATTGCATTTAATGTACGAATAAAATGCAAAAATGCATCGCGTGCATCAATCGGACCGCTCCGCTGGGGCTGCTGCCGGCTGGTTATAATGGCGGAGTCGTGTCACCGGACGGAATGCTCCGAATTGTCGGCCCCGTCGCCGCCGCGTCACCTTGGCGATATTATATATTGTGGCGGCCGCCAGAGATAAATATGGCATTCCGGCGGGGTCCCCCTCGGGTCTCAAAGGCGCCGACGATCCCATTGTTTTCCGCCGCCGCCGGTGTTCGTTTATTCGTCTATATGTGCGCGTACACATAATATAAAGCTATGCGTATCTCCGTAGTTATAAGTATAGAGGTACCTAACTATACGCATTTATATTTATATATATATAAATATATATGTGTGTATATGTATATCGCGATCCCGATGTAATTATTGTCGTCGACGTCGTTGCCGCCGCCGTCGCCGCCGTTCACATATAATATATTATCATAATAATACTTCCGACCGGCTTCTGTTTATCCGCGTGCGCGTAAAACCACCGACGGGCGCGATCCCGCGCAAAGGACCGCCGCGGTTCAATTAGTCGGCCATTTGCATATATTACATTACTTTTATTATACATGGTATATACCGACTTCAATTACCAGCAACCGCAATTCGCTCGTTCCCGCCACCGTCGCCATAAGAACACTCGTACTCAGCCCACATAATTTTTATCTAGATCGGTCTGACGCCGGACCCAGATCAATTCAAGTACGTGTGCATGTGCGCGGACGACGTCAATTTCAAAAATCAAAAATTTCCGCTACAATATTGAGATCGTATCTCCACACGCGTGCGCGCACGGAATCGCCTCCTGACGGTGGATCGTCGTTTTTATGTATAATACCGATCCGCACGTTATGATAGCTGGTGATACATACGTGTAATAATAATATATCGCATTAAAATATCGAACAGCCCGTCGTGCTCTCTATCGCGTGACGCCCCAACACACCAGTTACTCGTTCGTGGTCGTAAAAATTCTGGAAACGTGATAGTATCGCAGCAGTCGTATTATTTCGCGTAATAGATGTCATTGAAACATCGATAATTTTAAAGCAACGATTTAATATATAGTATAGGAGATACCTATACACAAAAATGGCGTGAAACAATAATAAGTTACGAATACTTAAACAGATATTCCGAATTATATAGATAAAATGATGTACCTATTCTATAATCAAAATTCTCACCGATTAGGTAAACAAACTAAATAACTATTAATTGATTAGTAAAGCATTGAATGTTATATATATATACACACATACGAATGCACGAACAATTTCGATGTAGGTACGAGAAAAACTAACAGAAAAAATACGATTGATTAAACATTACAAATACCATCAGCCTTATTGGAAGGTCAAGAATTCACGTCTCGATTTTTACGGCTTTCGGAACGTTTACCTTGTTGGTATCGACTTGAAGTCGGCAATCGCGTTAAAATAACAATTATATAAACACAGTTGGCGTTATCGACCATCATCGGCATGCGTATGACCCGCGAGACACGCGCGATCACGTATATACTATCTATAGCTTGCCGAGAATTCAATCTACGACAGGGATATTATAGGCAACGACGATGGTAATGTTTAAAACAATAATTATAATCTAGAAACATACCTTCCAGAATTGTGTCCATCGTGCGTCTGTACAGCGTGTTTCTCAAATAGTGGACGGCAGGCATGAAGAATATCTCTTCTGGCCGTTCCGGCAAGTAATGCACGATTAACTCTGTGTTGGCAGGTATGTTTTTGATTACTTCGTACATAGGTTCGCCTGTTTAAGAAAAACAAAATAATAATCATAAAAAAATAACTGCAATGAAATTCACGACGGTTCTCGGTCTCGGTTCACATACACGCGCAAGCTCTTGATCCGACCATAAATCCACACACGGTGATAAATCCCGAACAGGTTCGGCAAGATACCCGAATATAATCGCGTAATCGTCGTGAATAAAAATAAATAATAATAAAAACGTATTTCGGTGAAATAAAAACATATATATATATATATATATATATATATATTGAACCGGTTGTTGATGTGTGTACCTTTTATTTTGGTTCCCAATACGTTGACATGTTGTTCGGAATGGTGCTGCGTTATTTTCAAAAACCGGACCCAATTACAATAACGCACTCGGAGTCTGTTCACCTCGGTCACCTGGTCGTAGCAACCGAATCTGTGCCTTATCTGAAACAATCGAAACACACGAATATGGTTAGGTTCGTGAACGAAATACATATTATAAGAAGCTGGTTCGGTCGAATTTATTCGTTAGGATAACGATTATATGTATATTGTATATATATATTATATACAAAGTATATGTACGTTGTACATGGTTTAGAGATGAGACCTTCTAACAGCTATTATAACACGTTTACATTATACTATATCGAGTTGGTTGGAAATGAAAACCTTTTAAAAGATTCATTAATTTATAAATGAATTAATATTAAAAGAGCAAAAAAACAATACTATTGCAGTAGTAAACCAAAAAAAAAAAAAAAAATAATAGTAATAATAATATATAATCGATTCTGCAGGTTAAATCGTTCTTATGTTTATATAATGGAAATACGCATAATAAGAAATTTGTTAACGAGTTTCAAATGCATTTTCAATCGATTATTAGACGCAGTTCGACGCTTATCGAAAACTTAGTTGATCGCGTTGTGGTTTGAACCAGTAAATATATACAAGTATACATTATATATGTATAAATTTATTAGTGTAGAAATTAATATTGCATTTATCTCGTAATTGTTTTTCTTGATAAATCTTCCATTAAACATGCGAGGTAAAAACGTATAACGACGATATGACGGTGAACAATTTCTTTTAAAAAATACGTTTAACAAATCTTGCTCGAATCAGCGGCTAGTGATTTTTTTTTATAGTTGGCTAACTAATAATTTACAACGACCGACCACTTGATTAAACGATACGTTTGCCGATAGTGCTCACCCCATGTACGCGCTAGTTCGTTTATGTGTTGGGTGTGAATGTGCAATTATAACGGACTAGCGACAAATATGCAATGCGGTGTACTTGAAGCGACGGGGCGTTATATGTATACGGAAAGAAAAAACATATTATATAGGATTTATTGAAAATATTTTTCTTGTTTGTTAGTATACGTTTGGTTTTTTCCTTGCAACAATGTCTAAACGGTAATTACAAAACGATTTTAAGCTTGCACTGCAACTCGACGGACTAAATGTGCAACGCATGCTAACAATTAATAGCCAATTAATTAACACGTATGCTGCGCACAATGATCATTATCTACGATGAGATAATAAATTGATAATTTATAACTCAGAACCATTGATACGTCGTTAAACTTACGGTTATCCTAGCTTGGTGGATTTTTAAATAGGACGGGTAGTTAGGTGTACGTGAATAATACTAAACATGTATACACACAAACATACAGTATAAATTTATATAATATTGTATGTCTCATATCGTATGCATTAAAATCATCCAGTTAAAATATTAGTGAGCGTTAAGCAAATCATCGTGTAACTATATAACATAGTGGCCGATAATAATATTATGAGATATGAAAATGCATATGAAGAAACCATAAAAAAGTAACACGAGATTAAATTGTAATTAAAAAAATAATAATAATAAATTAAATAATTCCTAATAAACCACACGAACAGATGACGATGACGATATCATTCTATGACGCATATAAATATTATACCATTTCACCGAACAATATTCAATCGTTACTGCGTATTACTAGTATGTATCCTAGTGCACCCAATAATAATATTATGGTACAATACACCTAACACCCAGCAGCAGTCGACGAATCATTGTACATTTAGGAAATGTACGATGACTATATTATTTGAAATGGTATAATATTACAATATACTTATAATATTATGTTTTATTATTATTACAAATTTGAATAAATTAGTCGAAATGAGTTTTTTTTTAATGTTTCTGTGGATAAATTTGGACTCTTTTGCTCTATGAAGCAATAGAACAAAAGAGCAAATTTTTATGAAAATGGGAGTCTTCTTAATTATTTTTATTTTTAACAATCGTATTTTTCATCTGTATTTATCTACATACAGAGTATAATATAATATACATTCAATTATTTTTTGATAAGTTGATACCTAAAAAATTATTCAGTTATCTGATCACAGATTATAAGATTAAATAATAATATTATTAGGTATCTCAGTCGCTTAGCTTAAAAAATAAAGATTGGATAACATCCGCAGTTATGATTTTGAGATTTAATTTTAAAAATGTGTAACTAATAATCACGTTAAGTCAATAACCATAAGGGTTAGATTGATAATTTACCTCAGTTTATCACTATTTTAACCAGTGTTGGATAAAGGAGGTGAGTGAAAAGGGTGCACGTTTCTTAAGAATATATAATTTTACAGTATAGGTATATTAAAAATACTTGCTCAGGGTGCAAAATATTTAAATTTTGAATTTATTTGAATCTTAGAGACTTTTTTTCGTTCCTTTAATTTTTATGATTTAGATATCATATATATCTATAAAATATTTAAGCTAATTCTGAATACTAGATTTATGTGTTTCGTGATATCGTCATTAGTGTAAATAATTTTCTCGCAAGCAAAACCTAATTACACAATACAGGATGTTTTCTTGTCATGATTTACGACATGGGGGTTCATCTGTCATATAGATACGAGCAAAGTATAATAAATAAATAAAAATATGTAACAGGTGTCGGAAAACTGAGCGGTAGTGACTATGTGCTTATACAAATCTCTTTCTCTGATACTTATATAATAATAGTTTGACGGGTCAATAGAGAAATAAATATTCACGAACCTGCTCTTGGCGGTTATACGTATTGATGTTTACTCGCCTTATGACCTATCATGAGCCACCCTACATGGCCGACTGTTTCACTGTTAATAATATCATTATTGTGTTCGAGTATAGAGCCGTCCTGATATTATATTATTCTTCACGCGTCTCATGGATGGTATTGCTCTATGGTGCGATCGTCTTAACTAGTAGGTAAGCGTTAAATTAATTTTAACGAAAAAAAATGCATATTAATTGATTCAACTAAAATTCATAGAATCAACTGACTAAATAATATACTAGTGTATGTACCACAAGTAGCAAATCGAAAATTGCGAAAAAAATTCTTGAATTACCGTCATAGGTAAATATTATTATACGCAGTATAACTTGTTGACCATTAAACCTGTTGTGTATCCGGACCGTTCGCGTGTTCCGTGTTAATTAGACCAGTGTAACATATTCATGCATAATATATTTATATGTATGTGTTCGCAGAAGTTTATCATAATTGATATTTACGTATTTATTTTAATTTTTTTCCTGCCTCGATATACCGAAATGTATACGAATACAACTAGGCATGTATAATTTACACAGTGCGCGTTTGCATGACGTTAAATCTGTATTTTGTATAGGTACACTATACGGTTACGATTATCTCGATACGGATAAATAAATTATAAACTTCCTTAACATGATTTAATCAAACACTTACCTAAGCAAATTTTACAAGTCATCACCCCGTGGATAAGATACATCCACAGTATTTACAGACTTTTATGGGTGTAATTCATTATAGCGCCCATTTCACGTTTGTTGTGAAAACGCGTCATCGTACTATACACTGACGCGTTTGTCACTAAACCATGCATCGTTCGTTTATTGGCTGATATAAAATATTGTTTTTCGATCGGACACGACAAGAACGCATTTGTGAAATAATAATAATGATAAAAAAAAATTAAAATAACAGCTACAGTCTACTGTAGTAGGCTGCTGCTGCGGTGTAATATACTGCGGCGAAGGAGACACGATGTCCCAATTATTAAGAACAATGCAACAACAAAAGAAAGAAAATAAAGTAGAAAAAAAATTTAAAACATATATGCAAACGCTCACACGACATAGGTACCTATACCTATATACATTAATCGCCGTGAGAAACCCGCATTGTTCCAAACTTCGGATTCGATGCTGTAACGTCGTTACCAACTACGGTCGGCTTGTTAAAAATATACCAATATATTATATAGTATTTACCTGTATGATCGTTATATAATGTGGCGTACTCGGGTGCAAAATATTTATGGTATAAATTTAATGTCAGTCTTAACTCTTAAGCATAATGGGGTAATACATTATGTACATAGAAATGATGATAAGACCTATGGCGGGCTTCATAACGATTGAAGAAAAAATTTGGGATGTCGACTACTGTAGCTATGATATTACGTAGATATCTTGATAATATTGCAGCTTAGTGATATTATTGAAAATCTTTCGGTAAAAAATTGTTTCATAATAAAAATTATAATATTATAATAGTATACAATATTATTATGCTAGATATATTTAAGTTTCTATAAGCGTTGAAAATAAATATAAAAACTGATATTCAAATGAGTTTATTTGAATAACGCTGTGAGAATATTATAAAATTTTTAAGTAAATATTACTTACTCGAATATAACTGTCTTTACAATTTCATACACCAGGCGATATGACAAATTACTGTAAATTTGACTTCTTTTTACATCAGTACTAACTCACGATACGGTCAATAATAATTTATATCTAATAAACCGGTATCTCAGCTTATGCATTAAATTTGTTGAAATTAAAAAAATATTTCAAATACTTATATACATATGGGCACCATCAGAAAAAGACACCGTTTAATTTTTAAAAAAGATGCAAGAGAATTTTATAATATATTTAAAAAATATCTTATAAATTTACAAGTTCTAGTGAATATATAAATCAAATTTATATTTGCTGAAAACAAATAATTGTATACCATCATGTATATATTATATAATGTATACTGTTGTAACCTTATATGTTATAATAATTTGGTTTAAATTAGTTCTAGTTAGACACTTATTTAATTCATACAGACGTTTAGATGTAATTACAATATCATACAGAATTAAAAACCAAAACGGCATAAGAAATTTTCCAAATGATTTGCTCAAGTAGATACCTACAGGTAGTAAATATAGATAATATTATTATGTAAAAATATCTGACATATTTATGTTTTTATATTCCAAAGTAACGTATTGAAATACTATTTACGTTTATTGTACTGACACAAGGGTGTACATGGTAGATTATATGGTCAACAAATTAATAATATACCT